GTCACCGTCGAGCTCAACGAGGCTTACCGTAATCGCTCCGGCCTGAAGCTGCTACATAATTTCTTCAATGATTAACTGGTGAATAGCTTCCCAGAGACACTAGCTGTGACTGTGCAAGACCGCTTTTGACCAGCGTTCAGGGACGTCGTAATGGTCTATGGTACCTCGACGACCTCGTTGAGCTCGTACCGTGAACCATGTTTCCGTGGGAAAATCTTCTGATGTCGTCGGTGTAGAAGGCTGTTGTAATTTTTGATAGATAGAATGTGCTCTTCAATATTCAGTTGGGCTCATTTGGTTTGGTTTCGCAACGCGTAATTAATTCCGTTTTGAATGTGGAGGAAGTGACTCTTTTTTTGCCCCTCCCCCGTCTCTCCAACGGCCATATTTCTAAGAAGCGACTGAAGAAAGCCTGGGTGTGGTTGGCCAAAGATAATGTGCGGAAAAAAAGAAAACGCCTTTTTCATCGTGCCTATTCGCAGAGGTCGGGTAATAGTTGCGAGAAGCTTTTAGAGTTTTTATGTAAGAGTGCTTGGTTGTTTTTCTAAAGTTTTTCCTTCATTTTTTTATAACGTATGTCATCATTTCGGGTCACTTTTCAAGGCGACAATGCGTGCGTATGGCTGAACGGCGCCGCCGAGGCTGAGCGACCGATTTGGAGTCGTTTGTGGAACCATTCTGAGAAACGGTACTGCACAGATGGTGGTGCCAACAAAGTTGCTAATAGGTATTGATGCTTCTAACAGAGTTTCTGGATATGCGGTCGCGTTTAGTGTTTTCGCAGAACTCCAGAATTAAAACCGCCTGATGTTGTCATTGGAGACATGGACTCGATTCTAGCTGATGTAGCCGAAGCGTTGAAGCCAACAACACGGTTGATTCACGCGCCAGATCAAGGACAAGACGGACCTCACCAAATGCCTTGAATTTGTAGCAGATGACTTCAAACAAGGCATGCAGTTAGGTTATTATCATAGTATTCATTTTCAGTTGTCGTCGGCTCCTGCGACCCACCCGCTCATCAAATGAACTAATTTCTTTTCTGCTTTAGGCTTCACGGATAGTTCTGCTCGGGGGGACATCAGGCCGTTTCGACCACGCATTAGCCGCCATAAACTCGCTGTATTATTCAACATCTCAGCTAAAGCTTGAGGTGTACTGTCTTGATAGTGAGAATCTCACATTTGTTCTTGATGAGGTATGCATCAGTAGCTTCCTTGTGATTGTAATTTGATTTTTCTGAGCGACTCATTTTCAGGGTGAATACACTGTGAAAATTGATCGTCAGTTTGTAACAGGAACTTGCGGTGTAGTGCCATTCTGCCAAAAACCGACGGTTGTCACAATGAGTGGATTTCGTTGGAATCTCGGTTTGTAGTGCTTGTTTTTGTAGAAAATATCTACCTTTATCCGTTTTTTCCTGTTATTTGCTTTTATTTGTCGCCGTTTGCAAGGCGAATCTTATGGTTAGATTTTTTTGCCTGGAACGGATGAGGCGGGTTTGAGTTAGGACTGATGCAAGGCGTCACATTTCT